ATATCTATAACATAAAGTATTATTTAAATAATAAAAATCTTTAAAAGTATATATAATTTATTTATTTTGTAATTTAGATATCTAAGAAATTGTTTTTAATATTAATAACAATCAATTTCAAAATAAGTTAAAAGTTGAAGGATCATTTTATAAATAAAAAAAAGTTCAACACTAAAATGGTATAAACTCATTTTTTACACCAAAGTTTACACCATTTTAGTGTTGAAAATAGTATTGGGTTGGAGAGGGTTTTACACCAAAAATGATGTTTGGTGTAGGATTTGGTATACCATTGAAGATGTCCTTAGTAGGTAATTAATTAATTAGTCATCAAAGGTTCTCTCAACTATGATGCAATTATAAATAATTACTTATATTGATGTGATAAAAATGAGTTATATTTTCATCATGTCTATGCTAATACAAACAAATAAACAAAAATGAATTTTCAACGTATCTCAACGAATCTCAACAATCCTACCACCACATCATTTTCATTATTCTATTTTATTCCTTTTTTTGTCCTTGACTTTTTTACCAAAACTCGTGTAACACGTTAAACTAACCATAACCACAACCATAAATGATTGAGAAATATAGCTTTGATATTCATCAATCATCACTGTATAGATACAAAACTCACCATCAAACAATCTATCCAATGGTGACAAATCAGGAAAAAATCTGCTCATTTTGCAGACATGAAAAACACCCAAAAAGTAGTATTAAATCTCTCAAATCTGGAATCATAATTCGAAACCAAAACCAGATACATCCACTTTTTGTTTGTATCACAAACAAACATTCTCTACCAAATGCATCAGAAATGACCAACCTCACACAAAAATATGTAACAAAGCAAAAAGAAACTGAAATTATACAAAACTTATCAGTTACATATCAAACTGTCTAAAGATTATTGGATATACAACAAGAAGTACAAAATATGAAAGAAATTAACGAAACAAGAAGTAAAACAAATTCAGAAGAAAAGTCTAGTAAAAAACTTGTTCAACATATTACATTCGTTATTAGAAAAAGAGATCAAAACAATACAATTCACTTAAGTTTTATTAGCAGAGCATTTTTAAGTAATTAAAGCAAAATTGATGATCATAAGTACTTTAATTTATTGAGTTGCAAAGAAATCATTTCAAAGCTTACTACGAGGAGCAAGGTACTTAGTATGGCGACCTTGAGCTATAAGCTTACCAGTCTTCTTCTTCCTCAGCTCAACACTCACTACAGCAACAGCTTTACCAACACGCAATGTCTTTGCTTCAATCTCTATCTCTTCCTGTAATATAATCGAAATTCAGATTCTTTCTTTCTTTCTTTCCAAAAAACTGATTTCATCAAAACAAAACAAAAGAATTTGAATTACGTTAAGGAAAGCAGCATCAAGATATGAGACATTGATTTCAACAGAAACTCCGGTCTGTGTAACACCGCTTGTGCAAATTGCAGCTGATCCGAGCAAATCCACCATTGTCGCTGTTGCTCCTCCGTGTAAGAAATTCCCTGCGTTCTTTCCTCAAATCCACCAAAACCAACAAAAAAAAGCCCAATTTTTAATGATCTACGAAACCCTAAAGATCGAATTTTTTTGGGGGAAATTGAAAATTTGCTTTTTACCAGGAGATGAGGAGGGATTTTCATGGAGCAGACGACTCGACCAGGCTCGATGAGATCGACTTTAAGACCTTTGACAACGAATCTCTCGATGAATCTGTTTGGTAAATTCGCTACTTTTGATTCTGTTTTCTTCTCGTCGGCTTCATCTTTCTCGACTTGTTCACCTTCTAGATACTTCTTCACCGATGCAAGATCCATGCTTATTCAAAATCAGAGGATAAAGTTCTCTGTGTTTTGAGATTTGATCAGATTTTGAAAGGCTCACGTTTGTTGCAGAGTACTGTACTCTCATTCAATAAGAATTTACTAATTAATCGGGTTAGGCAGAGAGATTAGACAAAAGATTAATTTTATTAAGAGAAAATTACATTAGTTTCTCTTCTTTTTATTAAGGAATGTTGAGGGAAAAATTTTATCTGAAGAAATGAGAAAACTATATCTTATATCAAAAGTACAATAAAAAGAAATTCATTTGTAACTTAGAGGAAGAAGACACGACTCTTTACACAAATGAGGGGTGCGCAAAAAAACCGAATGGAACTAATCCGAATGGAACCGTAATTAATATTTCGATTTAGTTTCGATTTTATTTATAAATCCAAGTCAAAGAGAAAAAAATATATATTCTAAAGTCTTGAATTTTTTTGTTTTTTTTGTTCTTCCTCCTAAACAAAGAGGCCCAAGGCCCAGATACTTCAGTAAAAAGCCCAGATACGTTAGAAGAAACCCTAGATCCTCTGCCGCTTTCCTTAT